CTTTCTCCTCAGTATTTTCCCTGCTTGCTTTCTCCAGAGTGATCCTTGGAGCCAGTCCTCAGAGGATGACTCCTCTTCCTTTCATTCTGATTAGCTCAAATCAACACAAAGGCTAAGACTTCTTCCCAGTGGCTAAAACACCCCCTTTTATGTGGATTGGGTGACATTGGAGACGGGGGCCATGGGGGGGGATAGTAATGGGTCTTCAACCTTCCATGACTCTGGACCACTGCATTTCTGGGTTGCACAAAAGAGAAGAGGTTGTAGCCAACTAAGTTCTGCTCAGAGTAGACCCATCAAAATCAATGGGTCAAAGTCATTTGTTACCTTTCAAAGCATCTACTCTGAGTAGGACTAGTACAGGAGACAACCGATGGCCTTTTTGGCAGTGGCTCCTTGATTTTAAAATGCCCTTCCTAGAGGAGCTCCACAGGCACTGACCTTGCAATTTTTCCAGCAATTAGTTAAGACTTTATTGTTGACCAGGGCAATTTGAAAGGGGTTCTGTTTGCTTTCAGCCAGCTTTTGGGTTCTACGTGGCTGCCTTTCAGTCAGTTTTCTTGTTTTCTGAGGGATTATATTTTTCCTTTTATTGCATTTCATCATCATTATTGTGAGCCATCCTGGGATCTGTTTCAAGGAAGGCATTTTGGATGATGTTAAAATGCATTTCAAAAGAACTTTTTTTGTCCACCTCAAAAGGAATTTTGCAGGGCTAGAAAAGGTTCAGAAATTAGCAGCTAGGAGGATAAAAGGGATGGAGCAACTCCCCTGTGAGAGAAGGTTACAATGTTTGGGCCTTTTTAGTTAGAGGAAAGACAGGTAAATGTCAGGAGGGGAACATGATAGGGGTATATACAGGTGAAACTCGAAAAATTAGAATATCGTGGAAAAGTTCATTTATTTCAGTAATTCAACTTAAAAGGTGAAACTAATATATGAGATAGACTCATGACATACAAAGCGAGATATGTCAAGCCTTTATTTGTTATAATTGTGACGATTATGGGGTACAGCTGATAAAAACCCCAAATTAACAATCTCAGAAAATTAGAATATTGTGAAAAGGTGCAGTAGCTATTCAATCCATAACACCTGCAATGGGTTCAGTAGGAAGCACAATCATGGGGAAGGCTGCTGACCTGACAGTTGTGCAGAAAGCCATCATTGAGACCCTCCATAAGGAGGGAAAGCCTCAAACGGTAATTGCAGAAGAAGTTGGATGTTCCCAAAGTGCTGTATCGAAGCACATTAATGGAAAGTTATGCAGAAGGGGAAAGTGTGGAAGAAAAAGGTGCACAAGCAGCAGGGATGACCACAGCCTGGAGAGGATTGTCAGGAAAAGACCATTCAAACGTGTTGGGGACTTTCACAAGGAGTGGACTGAGGCTGGAGTTAGTGCATCAAGAGCTACCACACACAGACAGATCCTGGAGATGGCCTTCAAGTTGTTGGGATACTGCCAGGGAGATAAAGTCCATCAAGGCCCCCAAGCCGTCTGCCGGACGATCCATCGACCTCCCGTAGGCACGCAGCGACATGAGTTTCTAGAAAATATCTTGCCACATTCTAGAGCTCATGCACACTCTATCAGCAATTAGCACAGCCAAAAGTTGCACTCAGGAGAGCATTATTTACAAGTTTATTCAGCGTTGATCAGAACACAGAAAAACATGACTGCCTGCTGATTTAGTGTCTGCGACACAGAGAGAAAACGAAAGCAACAGAAAAACATAAACATCCTGTGAACAGGAAATACGCAGACTCTGACTCACAAAGCCTGCTCCCTTTTAAGGTGGAACGGAAATATCCTAACACAAATGTCGTATTCCTCTTGTCAAGCCGCTCCTGAACAAGAAACGCCTTCAGAAGCATCTTGCCTGGGCTAAAGGGAAAAAAAGAACTGGTCTGTTGCTCAGTGGTTCCAAGTCCTCTTTTCTGATGAGAGCAACTTTTGCATCTCATTTGGAAACCAAGGACCCAGAGTCTGGAGGAAGAATGGGGAGGCACACAATGCCAGATGCTTGAAGTCCAGTGTGAAGTTTCCAGTGCCAGATGCTTGAGGTCCAGTGTGAAGTGAAGATTTGGGGATCCATGCCATCAGCTGGTGTTGGTCCACTGTGCTTCATTAAGTCCAGGGTCAACGCAGCCGTCTACCAGGAGATTTTGAAGAACTTAATGCTTCCTTCTACAGACGAGCTTTATGGGGATGCTGACTTCATTTTCCAGCAGGAATTGGCACCTGCCCACACTGCCAAAAGTACCAAAACCTGGTTCAGTGCCCATGGGATTACTGTGCTTGATTGGCCAGCAAACTCGCCTGACCTGAACCCCATAAAGAATCTATGGGGCATTGCCAAGAGAAAGATGAGAGACATGAAACCGAGCAATGCAGAAGAGCTGAAGGCTGCTATTGAAGCATCCTGGTCTTCCATAACACCTCAGCAGTGCCACAGGCTGATCGCATCCATGCCACGCCGCATTGAGGCAGTAATTGATGCAAAAGGTGCCCAAACCAAGTACTGAGCACATATGCATGCTTCTACTTCTCATAGGTCCAATATTGCTCTATTTGCAGTCCTTGTTTTGCTGATTTGATTTAATATTCTAATTTTCTGAGATTGTTAATTTGGGGTTTTAATCAGCTGTGTGCCATAATATCACAATTATAAGAAATAAAGGCTTGACATATCTCACTTTGCATATCATGAGTCTATCTCATATATTAGTTTCATCTTTTAAGTTGAATTACTGAAATAAATGAACTTTTCCATGATATTCTAATTTTCTGAGTTTCACCTGTAAGATTATGCATGATGCAGAGAAAGTGGTTTCCTCCCTCTCTCATACTGCTAGAATTTGGGAGTGTTTCTGTTGCACTTGGGTGCTGCTTGGGGCTTCCCATAGGGACATCTGGTTGGCCACTGTGAGATAGCCACTCCCGAACTAAGGGGGGGTGCGGGCTCACGCCCCCATCCACACTTTCGCAGGGCTGGCGCCAGCCCCGCAGTACTCAGGGATCCCCATTAGTATTCATCTTCTGCAGCGCCAGCTAATCGGCTGGTGCTGGGCGCGGGCCCACCTGAGGGCACTTAAGGTCAGGGCAGCCCTGGCTCGCCCCTTTTCCTCCTTTGCAGCAGCCGTGGTTTAGTCTTTTTCTGAGGTTTGTATCTAGTTCAGGTTTCTGTGCTCGTTTCACCCACGCGGTTTTTTTTTCTGGTCCTCTGCAGGTCTGGTTCTTTGGTCGTCGTTGCTCCTCGATCCCCCCCGCTCCTGGCTACCCGCGCGCTGCGCGCAACACGCTGTGAGGAATTCTACCCATCCTACCGCTTCGTCCGCTCTAAAGGATCGTCGCTCTAAAGGTGCCGCGGACCGAGCCTTCTCCTATTCCCCAGCCGGCTTCCCCCTGCACTTCGCGCCTCCGCGCTGCTCGTGATTTTCGCTATCTGGAGAGGACCAGATCGGCTTTCCTCCCTTCGGTCGCCGCTCACCAGCTGAGCCTGATACAGCTCACGCCAGCTTCTCTTCAGCGTTTCCCGGCTCCTCTTCGCTACTTTCCTGGCCGTCGGAGGACGCAGCGCACCCATTCATTCAGGTTTTGCTACTGGGGGTTCAGATTTTAACTTCAATTTCTGCGCAGCGGAGCACCGCCGCATGTGCGGGGCTTGTGTAGCTGCAAAGGAGCGTTGTTTGCTTTAAGCACCGCCGCATTTGCGGGGTTTGTGGGGCTGCAAGGGAGTGTTTTTGTGGCTTGGGGCTTGAAGTCGGGAGGGGGGGCGCAGGGTGAAAAAACGGTTTAATTCGCCAGCTTTAGCTTGATCGCATTTTCGGGGTTTATTTCCTGTTGTAGCCTGATTGCTGTTCGCTGCTCTCCGGGGCTTATTTTCCTGTTTAGTCTGATCGCTGAGCACGAAGCGGCACCGTTGCTAAGCTACGGGCCCGCCCCTGGCCGCCATTTGCAACCGCCCACGTGGCTTTAAAGCGGCCGCCATCTTACGATAGGCAACTAAGCGTGTGAAGTCTCTCTCTCTTTAAGGCTAGGCAGGCAGCCTTTTTACAACACAGCAGCAATAGCGGCAGGACAGGAGGGTTATAATTCACTGCTAGCTGGCTCACAATAGTAGTAAATCAGACGTACAAGAGGCTGATCTTCCATAGCTTATAAGGCTTTATATATTTGACAATACAGCTCATTTGGTTGATTTAAAGTGATTAAAGGCCTCAAAGAGCTCTGCCTTGACAAAGATATTCATTGGTTGGAATTTTAATTGAAGTACTTTAAAGGTTGATAGGAGGCTTATTTCTAATTGTTTTAAGGCTTTATATTTTCCTGCAATATATTTCATTTGGCTGCTTTACTTAAAGTGCGGAGGTGCCCCAAGGAGCTTTGCCTTGCCAAAGCAATTCATTGATTGGAATTTTAATTAATTTAAATAAGCCTTTATATATATTAAAAAGTATATGTTAGTTTATAAGGCTATACTCAATCTGGCAATTTAATTCATTTGGTTGATAAAATATAAAGGCTTAGCATTTGTTACTTTACAGGGCTGTATTTAATCTGGCAAGGTACAGGGACAGTCATTGCTTGTTTCCCAAGAGGCTTGCTTTTTGACTGCTTTTCCTGGCCCTAGGGCACAGCTTACTCTTATTCAGTGTTGGCTATTGCGTTTTAAATTATTCATAGAGGGAAAGTCATTGCAAAGTTTTAAAAGGCTTGCTGTCATCTCCGCTGCCTTATTTTTGAGCCGCTGGTTGGCAACACTACCAATATAATTGCTTAATCATTAGGTGAATAATTAAATATTATATAATAATAATAATAATAATAAAACTATAAATAAATAAATATTAAAAAAGAAAGAAAAAGAAATAGCAGAAAATTATATATATAGAAAAAAGGAAGAATAATATTAATAATCGGAAATAATCAATAGATAGATACTTAAATCCAGTACATACATACATACACACACTCATACATATTTTGGGGGTTTAACATGGCAAACAGGGGCAACGCTCAAACACCCCAGTCGGGTGGTGCTCTAGTGCCCGTTGAGCCCTGTAACCCACAAGCTATAGCGCAACTCGTCTCGGCAATTCAAGCCTTTTATGCGCAATGCGGGCCTCCGGTAGCCCCGACGTCTTCCATAGTGGAGCTACCTCAAGATTGCATACCTGACACCCCCCCCCCAGCCAGCAGGGCCGGGCAGGACCCTCCTCAGCTACGTCTAGCACGACTAAGCAAGGCCCCAGACACGTTTGCAAACTGCACGTGCACAGAAGTCTAAGTCTAGTGCCCAGAAGGCCAAGTCCGGGGTGCAGAAGCCTAAGGCCAGCACCCAGAGGACCAGGCCATCAAGGGCCACCTCCTCTAATGCAAGTCAGGAGGCAAAAGGTGTTCCTACTGTTTTTCAGGATACTCCAGCCCAGCACAGTACGTCCGAAGGGTCATCTTCGGATGACGAGTTGCCTCCCCAGCAGGCAGCTTCTGCGTCTAATGACCCAGCCCCGCGAGACAGTAGCTCCCGCGGAGGGAAGCGGAAAGCGAAGAGGAAGCACGTGTCCAAGAAGAGCAGGAGAAGGGACCCATCTGACTCCGAGGATGAGACAGGTACTTCTTCTTCTGAGGGTGATAGTGATGCGCCCATGGAGACTTACTGGGGGGAGGGCGAAGAGACAGGTGCCCCTTTGTGGGTCCATGAGAGGTGGGCCAATTCGCACCGTAAAAATTTTTAATGGGACCCTCGAATGGAAAGATGGGGCGCTAGTCAAGGATGTTAAAGTTTCAACTCACTCGTCTACTGATTTTAACTTGGGAAATCACCTTTCTAAGAGGAAAAGGGATAAGATACTGAACGGGGATTTCGTAGATATGTTTACGTTGCTGCCGCCGGCACAAATAAAGGGTAAAGGGGATAAAAATAGGTATTATGGTAAGAAAAGATATAGGACCCTTCGGGCGGAGCGTACATTTGAGAACTGGCTCAATGGCTACCAGGTATTCATGGGGATAGTCTTAGGAGGTTATCCAAAAAGTGGGTTGCACCTTGCATCTTATCTGGCTCATGTGAGAAGGGTGTGTGAATTAGCGGGAGATGAGGCTGCCATCTCGTACGACGAGGATTTTCGTAGGAATGCCTCGCTTTTGTCCTCAAAGCGCTGGGATCAGAGGGACAATAACTACTGGATGGAGCATGTGGGGCCTAACATCGAAAAGAAAACTCATGACCAAGCAAAACCCGGTAAGGTGGACGCCAAACGTCGTAAACAATGCTGGGATTTCAATAGAGGGGCCTGCCAGCGCACCGCTTGTAAGTACTTGCACGAATGCGATAAGTGTTTAGGTAGCCACCCGGCTATTAACTGCTTCAAGGGCAAACAACAGCCCTTTCGAGGCGGCAGGGGTCACCTCCACCAGGGAAACCAGGGTGCCCCCTCTGGCGCTTCAGGACCTGCCCAAGGGTCAACAGGGAATCGCTACTAATTTGTCCCTCGACCTAGCTCACTCTCCGATTAAGCTCCAACCCCTAAGAACACTGTTAAACCTATATCCTAATAGACAAGCCGCCCTTCTTCTAGGGGAGGGGTTTTCCCAAGGGTTTAGAATTCCAGTTGTCTTCACCCCCAATTCCGGTTGCCCCCCCCAATCAGAAATCAGTTTTAGAGAGACCTGACATTGCTATGAAAAAGATTCAGAAAGAAATTGTGGCCGGGAGGGTGGCTGGTCCATTTCCGGAACCTCCCATTGATCAGCTGCATATTTCACCACTCGGCATTGTCCCAAAAAAGGCCCCTGGGGAATTCCGGATGATACACAACCTTTCTTACCCCAAGGGTGCTTCAGTCAATGATGCTATCCCCCAAGAACTGTGCACGGTGAAGTGTGCATCTTTTGATCAAGCAGTGAAGTTGGTCCGGGGATTTGGTAGGGGCCCTTTTATGGCAAAATGCGACATCGAGTCTGCATTTCGCCTTCTTCCAGTTCACTCAGAGGACTATCGTTGGTTAGGTTTTAAATTCCAGGGTGCTTATTTCATTGATAAAGCGATGCCCTATGGGGTGCTCGATTGCCTGTGCCGCTTTTGAGACTTTCAGCACCTTCCTGGAATGGGCGCTGAAATTTAAAACTGGTTCCGAAGGGGTGGGGCATTACTTGGATGACTTTATTTTGGTCGCAAATAATGCAAATGACCGCAAGGCCTTGCTACAGGCCTTCAAGACCATGGCTGAGGAGCTGGGTGTCCCTTTAGCAAACGAGAAGACGGAGGGCCCGGTCACCACGATGACTTACCTGGGCATTGAACTCAACACACTTGCCCAAACTTCTCGCCTACCTACCGAGAAGTTGGTTGCCCTAAAAGAGCTTATTTCACAGATATTGCCCCTAAGGTAGGTTACCCTGAAGCAAATTCAATCACTCTTGGGTCACCTCAACTTCGCGTGCTGTGTAGTTTCCCCCGGTCGCCCCTTTTGTGGATGGTTGGCAAAGCTGTCAGCAGGTTTACGGTCACCGCATCATAGGGTGCGCCTCTCGAAGGCTGTAAAATCAGATCTCCAGGTTTGGCTGCAATTCTTAGACGGCTATAATGGTATTTCACTTTGGCAAGATAGCATGGCCCTGCAAGCGGATTTCCAGGTGCATTCAGACGCGGCAGGTTCCTTGGGATTCGGTGTCTACTTCAGAGGTCAGTGGTGTGCACAACGATGGCCCTCATCCTGGCAGGGTAAACCCATACTACGTGATTTAACATTCTTAGAATTCTTCCCTATCGTAGTCGCAATTCACATATGGGCTGAGCAATTTAAAGACCATAGGGTCTGCTTTTGGACAGACAACCAAGCACTGGTGTCGGTCTTAAATAAGCAATCTTCACATTCCCCCAGAGTAGCCCTTTTGTCCTTTCCTGCCTCCGGCTAAACCTATATGCCTCTGCCAGATTTGTTCCGGGTATTGATAACAACATTGCGGATGCTCTGTCTCGTTTCCAGATGGATCGCTTTCGCTCATTGGCGCCGGATGCGCAGCAGCTGCCGCAGCCGTTTCCAGAGCACCTCTGGAGTATTGGCAACGAGAAGCAATAAAGGGAGTATTGTCAGCAGTTGCACCCTCAACCTTAAGATCCTATAACAAGGCGTGGTTGGATTTCACATCTTTTCGCCAGGAAAAAGAGTGGTTTAAACCAGGCAGGCCCCCGTCTAAGTCAGAGGTCATAGAATATCTTGTGCGCCTCCGCCATCTAGGTAGGGCCCCCAAAACCCTCAATATTCATTCAGCGGCAATATCGTTCTTCTCCAAAGCCCTGTTCTCAGTAGACCCCTGTGCACACTTCGTGGTACGGAAGATGCTGGAGGGCTGGCGCAGGTCTCGGCCTCCTAACGCCGACAGCAGAGGGCCCATAACTTATGACATACTCATGCAAATTCGTAAGAAGCTCAGGGTCATCTGCTGGTCCAGGTATGAAGCCAGGTTATTTTCCACAGCATTTTCCTTTGCCTTCTTTGGTGCCTTACGCATAGGCGAGGTGGTCTGTGAGGACCAGCCATCTAGTAACAATAGGGGGCTCCTTTTAGAGGATGTAACCTTGTTGAGCTCAGATGTAATATTAAAAATCCGCAGCTCTAAGACCGATCAACTTGGTAGAGGGGCTCTAATCCGCCTGCAGGCAACTCAGAAGGATGGCCCTTGCCCGGTAAAGGACGCTAGAAAGTTTCTGTGCTTAAGACCAAAAGCAAGTGGCCCTTTCTTCATACATGCTGATGGCTCTCACCTGTCAAAACACCAGTTCACGAGGGTTATGCGCAAGGCGATCGCGGCCATTGGACTTCCACCTGAGGAGTATGCCGTGCACTCTTTCCGCATTGGGGCTGCGACCACCGCTGTCCACATGGGTTTACCGGCTGAGAGGATAACGGACATGGGGCGGTGGAAGTCTAACGCGTACAGGGGATACATCCAGAAACCACGTTAACTCCCCCTTCCCCCATCAATCCCCCTGACCCGGCTCTCTTACTCTCTCATTTCAGGTATCGGGGCGGTGCGTCTCTGGATCATTGGCCACGGTATTGTACACTGGGCAAGACTGCGTGCAGTTACCAGGGGCTGGTGCGATGACCTGCAACTCCCTAGCAATGTCGAAGTGTCCTGGATTGCTCGGCGTGGAATGCGTTGGGAAGAATTCTTCCCGGCAGTAACAAAAAGAATTGCAGCCGAAGGCCCACCCGATGCGCTGGTCATCCAACTGGGCGAGAACGACCTGGCTTATAGAAAAGGGGTGGACTTAATGTGGAATATTTTCAGTGACCTGGAGGAGTTGCTGGCTACATATTCAAATATAACAATAATCTGGTCATCTTTGCTTGAGAGGCGCTGTTGGCGGGACGCCGCAAATCCCGTGGCTGTGAATAGAGCCAGGAGGATCCTGGAGCGCTCAGTGGCGCGTAGAGTGGCTGCGATGGGTGGGCGGGTCATTGAACACCCATGCATCCAGTTTAGCAAGGAAGCACTCTATCGCGGGGATGGTGTGCATCTCTCTGATGCGGGTAACGATATTTGGCTGACCGACATTTTTCAGGGAATCGGGGATTGGTTACAGGTCTGAGGGTATTGGCGGTGAGCCTGGCTCGTGTAGCGGTTAGGCATTGGCCAGGGTATTGTTATGCAAATGAGGATGGGGGGGGAGGATCGCCATCACCTCCCCCAATTCTTGAAGGGTAGTTCGTTAAAGGACTCCGGGGGGCGTCGCCTCGTCCGAAACCTACGGAGGCTAGGGCCTAAAGTGCGTTCCCGAGCTGTAACCCCTTGGGGAGCACCTAGGGATGTGCATCTCGGGGGCTCCCCCTGTTGGTGCTTAACCCTTCCCGGTTAGACCGGATAGTCTGTTAGGGCCAATGTCTAAGGCCAATACTGCTCTTACCTGTAATCAATAAAGTTGTGGCCATTTTTCGCCCATTAATTTAAATTCTGGTGTCCGGTGTCTTTATTCCATCTGTGGGAGGGGGCGGGTATCGCCACGCAACAGGATGCTGGACTTGATGGGCCTTGATCCAGTAGCCAGGCTCCTCTTACGTTCTAAAATAATTATATTTCTGTCTGTTCTGCAGACACTGACCCTAGATGCCTCGTCCATGTCCTACCCGTCCAATGACATCTGCAGCGCTGGCACAGAGGCCATCCAGCAGTTTCTGTGTGGAGGTGAGCAGAGCAGAGGGCCTGCCTAGTGCAAGCAGGGTGGAGAGGACCAGCCCAACAGTGCTTGATACCTCTGAGACTCTTTCCTCTCCTGGAATGAAGGGCCTAGGGAGGGGCTGTAGCTCAATCGGAGTGCATCTGCCTTGCATGCAGAAGGTCCCAGCTTCAATGCCCGGCATCTTCAAGCAGGGCTGGAAGAGAACCTTGTATGGAATTGAGAAGAGGGGCTGCTAGCCAGTGTAGATGGCCCTGAGCTACATGGACCAACGGTCTGGCTTCCTATGAAAACATGCTTGCTGAATTCTAGAGCCACCTTGATGCGTTTGGTGGCCAAGCAGGGCTCAAGTCTCCCTGACTCATTTTTAGCGCTCTGCCCAGTGCATCACACTTACAGGTGAAACTCAGAAAATTAGAAGATCATGGAAAAGTTCATTTATTTCAGTAATTCAACTTAAAAGATGAAACTAATATATGAGATAGACTCATGACATGCAAAGCGAGATATGTCAAGCCTTTATTTGTTATAATTGTGATATTATGGCACACAGCTGATGAAAACCCCAAATTAACAATCCTGTCGCTGGATTCCCATTGCCCTTGACCAACTGGCCATGCCAGCTGCAGGGGCTGATGGGAGTTTGGCATCCTAACAGCATCTGGAGGGCCACAGATTTCCCAGGCGTGCCTTACACGCAACCTAACAATGGTCACTGGCTCCCCTGAACTGTAAGAAGTGGTGTGTTTGTGTGTGTGTGTGTGTGTGTGTGTGTGTATGAATGAGTGGGTGGGTTGTGTTAAACCCAGTTAAACCCAGGCTCCTTTTGTGAGAGCCAGTGTGGTGTAGTGGTTAAGAGCAGTGGACTCATAATCTGGTGAACTGGGTTCGGGTCCCTGCTCCTCCACATGCAGCTGCTGGGTGACCTTGGGCTAGTCACACTTCTCTGAAGTCTCTCAGCCTCACTCACCTCACAGTGTGTTTGTTGTGGGGGAGGAAGAGAAAGGAGAATGTTAGCCGCTTTGAGACTCCTTCGGGTAGTGATAAAGCGGGATATCAAATCCAAACTCTTCTTCCAAACTCTTTGTAATAGTGACATTTCCCATAAATATGCTGAGACACAACTGAATAATGTTATAGATTTCAATGGGATTCATGGAAGGGCCAAGTTTATTCAGCAGTTTAAATGAATGGGGCATGGAAGTGCTTAACTGGTTCTTGAGCAGGGCCAAAACCTGGTGGAAGGAATCTTCAGTCTCTGTAGCAAACAGCAGGCACAACAACATTTTGTATGGAATGCAGAGCCAGTTCTTCTCAGAAGCAAGCAAGGGGCGCCCCTGAGGTGCTGGATGCACCACTAGAACTGGCGGCATGGTGTGAGTACCAAGGTTTGTTTTGCTCTCTGCATTTTTCCTGAAGTTGTTGAGCTGTGAAAATCATGTCAACTGTCCCCCTGGAAGGCTGAAAACCATTTTGGGATTCAGGAATGGTCACCTCGGATAATGTTAAGAGACGGTTTGCTAAGATCCTTGCAAGAATTTTGCTGGCCACAGCTAACAGAGAGATGCCTAGATAGTTTCCGCAATCAGTTCTGTCACCTTTTTAAAAAGAGATTGATAATTTTGGCATCCCTGAAGTCTGCTGGGATGGCTTCTCTCTCCCAGATTTTTTTGATGAGTTTGTGAAGTTGTTGTGTAAATTCAATTCCACCCACTTTGAAGATTTCAGCAGGTATCCCATCAGGTCCACTGGTTTTGTTGTTTTTCACTTGGTTAATAGCTGTACACAACTCTCCCAGATTTGGAGATACAGCAAGCTCATCTCTAATTTGTTTTTGCGGGATTTGTGAGAGGACCTCAGCAGCTATGGGGGAGTTGTGGTTAAGGAGATGTTGGTAGTGTCCTTTCCAGCACAGTGCAATAGCTGCTTTATCTTTCAGAAGTGTGGTACCATCTGCTGAGCGTAGGGGCATATGCCATGATTTATTGGTCCATAGATGGTCTTTGTGGCTTTAAAGAGACTCTGTGCATCATGAGTGTCAGCTAAGTGCTGGATCTCTTGAGCTTTTTTTTTTCATCCACCAGGTGTTTTTTAGTTCTCTGGTTCTTAGCATTGGCATAGGTGTTTTTTTCTTTCTTTTTTTTTAAATGATATTTATTAAAAGTTTAAGAATTACAGAAAAAAGAGAAAAAGAAAACAACAAAAAATTTGACAAAACATACATTACAATACATAAAAGAAGAAGCATAAAAAACAATACAACAATACAGCAAAAACAAAAACAATAACATTAAAAGACACATCCAATGTTCCATATCTTTATCTTTCATTTACTTGTTTCATCGACCTCCTCACACCTCCCTTTTTGTATTCTAATTTAATTAATTGTTTCAGCAAATTCTTTCCATCTTTCTCAATTTTTGTTATATAATTTATCTTAACGATCTAACCTTTTAATTAACTCAACAAATCCTTTCCATCTTTCACTATATTCTGTCATTCAATTTACCTTAATTTATTTAACCTTATCTTACCATAAAAAAAACCTTAAAACTTAAAACTTAATACTTATTTGTACATAACTCCTTATATCATTTCTACTAAAGCCAAATAGTTTCATTCCAACATTTTTCCTAATACTCGTTAATTTTACACTAATTCTCAAAATAATTTTTTTAAAAAACTTTCTTCCAATCTTCATCCAACGTCTCTTCTTCCTGGTCTCGGGTTTTGTCAGTCCTTCTTGTCCATTCCATCTAGTCCATCAACCTGGTGATCTTATGTCCGAGGCTCTTAAGTCTTTTCCATGTCCCTTCTGCAGATCTTCTTCTTGTTTATACCTGCACTTTACTTTGTCTTTTGTTGATCTTTTTCTTAATTTCTTTCCTTTCTCATTGGGGGTAGGTCTTGGGAGGACTCCAATCCAAAAATATCTCCATCTCCCCTCAGCAGATCAGCCCATTCCCCACAGTCAACACTGTAATCCAGGAAGTATTTAAAAGCATGTTTCAAAGTCCTTCCAAAATTAAGAGCCCTCACAACTCCAGACCCCCCCGGTCCACTCCAGATTCAAACTTCAAGAACAGCGGCTTATGCTCCTGCAAGGCCTCGGATCTCTCCATTTGTGTTACTTGAGGTTCAACAGCAACCTCCTCCATTATCTTCTGCACTTGCGCTTGCCCTGTCAAAACAAGTTCCTGGGCTGGTTCCTGAATGGTTTCTATATGGGTATTCGCCGTTTGTCCAAAGTTTTTAACTGCAACAGTCATCAAATCCATCTTCTCATGCATCTGCTCCAGCAAAGCGCTTGTCTTGCAAAAAGCAAGCACCAAAACTTCTTCTAAACACATTTTTATTCAAGGTCAGAGTCTGGTCTCACGATCCTAATCTTACAGCTGTGAAATCCCCAGATCGACTCCAGCAACAAATTAACAAGCTCCCTCTAGAGGAGACAATTTCTATTTGTATCCATCTTTTGAAAGCAGGACCAACAAAAGAAAATTACTTTCATTTTTCAAATATTTTGTTTCTTTTGAATGCAAGAGGCAACATTGGAGTCCATTTGTTTCTCTTTTTTAACTATCTGTCAAAAGACGTTTCATTCACAGTCGATGAACTTCCCCATAAATTTCTGTCTCTGACACCCCGTTCCCAGGTTTGAGACGGTGGAAATTTATCTTTCTTTACTCTCTCTCCTGCAGACTTAAACAGTCAAGAATTCCCCCCCCCTTTTCTCCTGCTTCCAAGAGGGGTTTTGGTGGTAATAACTGAAGGAAATTTAGACCTTTATATACGACTTTCCAGACTTTAGCTTACAAAGTTTTTGCTTCAATCTATTTACAAAAACGGGAGGCGGACTTCCTGTTTAGAGCCTTCCCGCTTCAGTGCCAAATTAAAATGTTTCTTAATCCAATTTTCCGTTCTACTCACGGGTACTTATTTAGAGTCCAATTGTCCACAGGAAAAAGTCAGCGCTCTCCGGCAACGGCTGTGCGGCTTCACTCCGTAAAAGTAGCGGTTGATTCAAAACACCGCGCCACTCACTCCACGTCGCTTCGGATCCCGAAAAGGGTTTCCCTGCGAGGAGGGGAGGCGCTCCTGGTGTCAGCCGAATCCCACGTTCCCAGGCTTCCTCCGCCTGGGATTTTTAGAGGGTCTCCACCTTCGCCGCGGCGGCAAGACCCGATTTTCACGGAGCGGGTTCCTCTCGGTCAGAGGAACTCCGCCATTGCCGATGGCGCTAACCCAGAAGTTCAGGTGTTTTTTTTTCTTAGTGGCACAGTTTCTATCACCAGTGTGGTGTAGTGGTTAAGAGCGGTAGTTTCGTAATCTGGGGAAACAGGTTCGCGTCTCCGCTCCTCCACATGCAGCTGCTGGGTGACCTTGGGCTAGTCACACTTCTTTGAAGTCTCTCAGCCCCACTCACCTCACAGAGTGTTTGTTGTGGGGGAGGAAGGGAAAGGAGATTGTTAGCCGATTTGAGACTCCTTAGGGTAGTGATAAAGCGGGATATCAAATCCAAACTCTTCTCCTTCTCCTCCTTTTTCAGAACAAATTTATGGAAAACTGTTATGCCCTCCAGATGGCTCCCCCAGCTTGTTCCATTTCTTCACTGGATCTGCCAATTTCTGTGGGACAGTATTATTTACGTACACGAGTGGCCGTCATATAATAATGATGATGATGATGATAGTGCCATCTGAAGAAAAATAGATCTGGCTCAGTTCCCTCAGTCAGCAAATTCATTTGCTTTAAAGCCAGGATGGGAAAGCTTTTGGCCCTTCAAGGTTGCTGGAGTACAGCTGCCATCATCCCTGAGCATTGGGCATGCTGGCTCAGACTGATGGGGGTTAAGGGTCCAGCAAGATCTGGAGGGCCACAGGTCCCCCCGCCAAGTGTAAAGTATTGAAATAATAAAAAATGCTTCAGCCAGAATGGTTGCCAGAGCACCACAAGATGAGTAGCAAACAGTCCTTAACCTGCAGGTGTATAATCTAAGACATGGCACAAAAGGAATGAAGAGAAAAGAGGCAAACAAGTAAGCTCATGCATTAGTTCTTACAAAGTTCTCGTAACAAGCAGCTTGGAAAGGAAAGGGTTTAAGGAGAGAGGAGGAGCTCAAAGTGAGCTGGTTTGCCAGCTGAATTGATGGAGTGGGCACCCGCTATCCCATCTTACTCTATGCTCTAGCTTGATGTATTAATTGCCCACTGGGTGGCAGCTGAAGGAGAGAGGAAAATTCAATGGAAGATGAGGTGGCAGAGTTGTGTCTGGACTATACCACTTCAAACTGCAGGTGTTGGCTCATACAACGATTGCTCCTCTGTTCACACACGCACCCCACCCCCCCAAAGAAAAGTAGCATATCTAGCCTAACTTTTCCATGGCATACTAGATTTCTACATGCATGGGGATTATCTATTGGGAGGGATTTTTTTTCAGAAAGCTTTATTTGTAAGGCTAGATGACAACAAGCAAAAAACATGCAGGGGGATAACTCTTACTATATTTTGTGTGGGTGAGCTTTCAGTTAGGCCAGCTCCACCCCCCCCACCTGCAGTCTGTAGTCCAAACACAGTCCAAACACAGGTTTGTTCACTTCCATCTGCTGTTTATGAACACACAAGCCCTGTCTCTCATCATGCACTGGGAGGAACACTACAAGCCACAGTATGTTCACATGCTTGAATGTGTGTGCTGATGCGGCTCTTTGCTGGTCCTTCCCAGTAGTAGAAGATGCAGGAGAAGCTGAAGTTTGAGCACTGATTGGATCTGGAGCAGCGAGGTCAAGCCCAGCTCATGCACCAGAGCCACACCCAGAAAGGGGAGATCCTCCAGAGCATGAAGGAGGTATCTTGTCTGTCTCCCTTTTCCACCACCACCCCGGACCCTCCTGTTGCTCCGTGGTTAAGCTGCTCAAAAATATTTCTAAGTAAAAGAAAATGAAATAGGTCATCCTAGGATGGATTGATAATTGCCCTGTAGGCAGTGATGACTGATGCCCATTGGGACTGGTAGGGCAGAAGGCTGGGAGCCCAGCAGTAGATGGTGCCAGAGCCAATGACAGGTAGAGACTGTTAAGTACTTTTGTCCTCATTCTCACTGCTGAGTTCTGCAAGGGGCCACCCAGAGACTAAAAAGGAAGAAGCTGGCGGGTGGTGCTGCCACCCGCTGAACTGGTTGCAAGTAGGAGGGTAGGCTGGGGAGGCAGTGCCCCATTCACCCCGATGGACCAGCCTCCACTGCCCATGAGAGAGGTTCATACGTTTGCTTATTGTGGTTGGGAAAATGTGCCATTCTGAGGAATCCAGATGTAGGCTTACCCTCGAGTCGCAAGGTCCAGGGAGGCCTCTGTGGGAGATAAGGCTGTCCTGGAGATCAAGGAAACGGTCCTTTGATGCTGTTATCCTCTCTGCTTGCAGGAGCAGGTGAGGCTGGAGCAGGGCCTGACCCGGTGTTAGTTTCTGTTTGCCACTGAGCAGTGCTTTGGAGTCACAAGACTCTGTTTACATTCCACACATTCCATACTGTTGGAAGTCTCACGGGAGACGGATGTGACGTTACTGGTTTCCTGTTCCTTTGTTTCAGTTGCTCTCTGGTCTCACAGAGAGAGGATGTGGGTTTTTTTGTTTGCATAGTTAGGATAATAGAACCCTTTGCAATGTAGCCATAAATCTCATCATTTCCGCGTGCTGCTTTGATTCTCTGTGTAATGGGAATGTGCCTGAGGCCTCATCAAAAGCTCAGGTCGTTAATCACATCGGAGGTGATTCCGAAGGACTCGGCCAGAGGGAGATGAGCTTTATCAGCTCGGTCGAGCGGAGATTCCGACACCCGGCACCAGGAGTGCCTAGGAGAAGAATGCATGAAGCTGTTGGAGCAGCTGAAGCAGATGGAGCAAGGGGTCTCCAGCCGGATCAAGAACCTGCTGGAAGAGAACCAGAAGTTAGAGGTGGTGTTGAGCAACAGTCACAGGAGCTAGGGAGCTACACTTGCAACTCTTGACTGTTTTCACTCCCAGGCTGGGTTTATTGCACCAAGGCTCAAAGACACCTGGGCTGGATTTTTAGATCTGATGGTGTGACTCCAGACAAGGAGTTCAGTTAGGGTTGGGGAACAAATTTAACTGAAGGATCATGTTTCCTTCTGGGAAGGTTTCCAGGGGCCACTTGACAGTGGTTTGCGGGGCCAGAGGATAAAATAGGTGGAGCATCACATGCAAATTATATATTGGAACTCTCTCACACAGCTGTCTATCCTCCCATCTAGTCAGCCAAGAGGCATTATCAGAGTTCAGGGGCACATCCCAGCCAGACAAAAACACTCAAGAATTTAAGTAGGGCTGGCAAGGGGGTTGGCTGGGGAGAGTTCCAAAGACCAGGCAGAGAGGCTTGGAGGGCCAAATTCAGCCCCTGGGTCTGAGGTTCTCAGCTCTCAAGTTAAGAGGTCAAACAGGAATAGCCCTGTCAGGACATCCCTGATGTTACCAAAATTCGTCCAGGATTTTTCCTTTGAAAGCAAATCCCAAGAGTCATGGTCTGGAAACGCCAGACCCTTCATAGCGGAATTAATTTTTCTTTTACCAAGATCCTTCATCCTGTTGCTTCAGCCATGATTTTGTTCAAGTGGAGAGTTTATATAGGACTTTATATAGGTTCCACTCCATGCTGGACTGACAGGTGGTTGCATGAGCTCCCCCCTTCCTCTTAGAACTGAACAAGGACTAATAATGCCGTCTGGCGTTTTTTCCCCTCCTTGCTTTCTTTCTAGGCAAAAGCAGAGCTCTGAGATTCTCAAATCTCTGGAGAATGACTGGTGAGTGTCCCAGATGCTCTTGGCTGGGTAAGGAGTGGGGAGGATGATGCCTTTGCATGAGAACATAAAAAAGTGTTGCCTGGGTCAAGACAATGGGCGGTCTAGTTCAGCATTTTGTTCTCACAGTGACTGACCAGATGCATCTTCTGACCACCACCAGCAACTCTCTGCACTTGGTTCCCAGCACCTGGCATTCAGAGGCATGCTGCCTCCATTGTAGCTTGTAGCCATTGATCGCCACTGGGGAAAGGCCATAGCTCAGTGGTAGAACACCTGTTTTACATGCAGAAGGTCCCAGGTACCATCCTTGGCATCTCTAGGTGGGGTTGGAAAAAGCTCCCTCTCAGAAACCCTGGAGAGTCGTCGTCAGTCAGTGTAGGCAATGGTGAGCTAGATGCACCGATGGTTTGACATGGCATAAGGTGGCTTCCTCAGTTCCTATCATCTTTTCATCCAAGAGTTTGTCTTATCCTATTGAAAAATTCCACATGCTATGCATAAAAATGTGAGGTGACCGCTGCTTTCATGCCCAGGCTTCCCAGAGGCTTCCAGCTGCCCCCTGCTGGAAACTGGAACACTAGGTTTGATGAGCCTTTAGTCTAATCTAAACAATGAAAGAGGCAGGGCAGGCCTTGCCATTGGCTGACAGTTGAGGGAAGGGCATGCAGTGGCTGAATCTCTCCCTTTTCCCCTGCCAGGATCCGGATGGAGCAGCTGATGGCCATTACTCAGGAGGAGGATGAGCAGCTGCGCAGGAAGGAAGTGGCCTGTGAGTGTGGCTGTGGAAGTTCTGGGTGGGGACCCTTTACACCCCAGGCATAGAACTGCTTCTCCTGGCTATGTTGATTTCTACATAAAGAATGTGGGGTATTTTCCCACTCAAGGGCTGCATTCTCTTTTGGGCAGCCATCTGGGGGCCACATGCCAGGGTGGGTGGGGCCAGAAGCTAAAGTGGGTGGGACTACAAATGTAAATTTTTCCATTTGTACCATAGCCTATTTTTTACATACACATGCACAAACACACCTCCTCTCTGTCTTCCATCATGACAAACGAGGTATTTTTAGAATTCAGCCAGGCAAAAGCCCTTGAAGAGGGCCAGAGTAAGGCACTGTGTCTTGGAGAGGATTCTGGGGACCAGACAGAGAAACCTGGGATGCTACATTTAGCCCCCTGGGGCCTGAGGTTCCCCACCCCTGGCTTAGTGCATGGAAGAGATTGTTGGGATGTTTTCGATCCAATCTTAAGCCAGAACGTGGCCCGCAAAATTCTGCACGAATCCCCAAAAACTCTCCAGGGTTTTTCACCATTGAGATTTATGCACTCTGTATTTCTTCCCCCATCAACAACAAAGGCACTGACATTTTGGTTCCTCCTTCCCAAGAAGCAGAAACAATGCTTCCCTACCTACCCCTAGTTCTGCTCTTTGATCTCTCCTGTACACCCCCCCCCACCCTCCTGAGCTGCTTCCTGATCTCTGGAAAATTTTCGTGCTATTCTAATGTGCGGGAGGAGACAGTTTTTGAACAGGCTCTAATAAGCTCAGGAGAAGACTCCAGGGCCCTGACGTCCTGCATTTTCTTTCCTCCACAGCGGCCATGCCGCAGATGCTGGCCGAGACCTATAAGAACAAGCTCCTGCAGGTGGCTTACGAGTCACGCCAGCAAGATCTTGTCAACCAGACTTGTTCAAGGTACTCCCAGAGAGAGTGGGGCATTTCTCTGCTTTGTGGGGAGGGGGCCATATTATTATTATTATTTAAATCTAACCTTTCATCCAAGAAGCATAATGTGCTTTCCTTCCACTTTTTATCCTCACAACAATCCTGTGAGGCGGGTTTGTCTGAGAGAGAGTGAGTGGCTTAGGCTCACCCAGCAAGCCTTGTGGCTGAGGGGTGAGTTGATCCCGATTCTTCTCCCACTTTCAGTCCACAACACTGTACTTGTAGAAAGGGAGGTGATGCTGTTGTTTTTATTTGTGTGTGTGTATTGCTGTGATTAACGAGATAAAGGTTTTATACATGAGGTGAAATGTTTCTGCTTTCACCTCGCTAGCTGCTCTGGCTGGAAAGGCGGAGCAACCAGTTGCTTAGACATTTTGATTCTGAGGGCCGCAGTCTGTTGGACTTGTCAAGAGCAGCAGTAGAAATTATGCCACAGGATTAACAAAGAGCACACTGGCCACCACATGCCCTCAGCCTGCAGAACAACACCAGCATCACTTAGCTTCTGCAAGCGAAGCCCTTCTGAACGTTCAGTCTCAAAGCCACTTTGGAAATGGCGGGCTTTCATTTTTAGTGGAATAGCTGGCAAAGGTGGAAGCTGAATTTTTTTGCCACATAAATAGAACCTCTGTTTTGTTAATCACAGCAACGTATAGATTATGTGAGTGCAGGGGTGGGAAACCTCTGGCACATGGGTCAGTCTTGCTCCCCACATCCAGGGAGTCTAATTTGGCCCATGATGCCATTCCACTACCTGTTGATCAGCTGACATCACTTGTCATTTAGAGCGATTGGAAGTCTGACAATAGATGGTGACATGGGGGTGTGCATGGGGGTGGGGGGTCCCTCCATCCCCATGTACCAGAACCCAAGAACACCATGCTCACACTGGCTCTGCTAGAGTAAGCCAGAAAGGTGGAGGGGGAGAGAGAGAGAGAGAGAGAGAGAGTGCGCTTGGGATATTGGCTCTGTTCCCTAAACCCACTGGAGTTAGTTTGGTTCTGTTCTCTGACAGGCTTTGATTTTTTCCAAATGTACTGATACTATTGGCTCCTGTCCTGACAGCCTCTAAAGGTCTTCCAAAGTGCCTCTCACCCTCAGTTTGCCTCTGTCTCCCAAGAGGCAGTGGTGGTAACCCTTGGAATGTTTTCTCTTGTAGCCTAGCCAAGATGGACCAGAAGTTCCAGCAAATCCTAGCTTGGCAGGAGTTGGACCAGAAGAAAGCCATCAGCCAGATCCTACAGGAGGTATTTTGCTGGATATGGGTGCAAAAAGGGCACCTCTGTATACAGGATGGGAGAGGGTGATCCAAAGCAAAGTATGGCGGGGGGAGGGGGAGAATCAGAGTTATAGAGTTGGAAGGGGCACAAAAGGACATTTTTTCCAACCCCCTGCAATACATACCAAGTCCATCTATCTAAGTTGTTAGTTCTTTCTGTGCTTTGGCCCCAGGTTACTCTTGGAGCACTCATGGGTGGGAAGTGTTCTCTTTAAAAACAAAACAAAACAAAACTCATTTTTATTGATTTTCCAATAAAAAACATCCAATTAAATATCCAATCATAATGCTTCAATTAAAATAAAAAACTAAAATAAAAAAGATCAAATTATAGTCCAAATTGTATTTATTAATTTCTCGGAGCTCCCCACAGTCTGGATCTCTGAGAATAAGCAGGCCTCGTACTTAGACCAGCAAACAGTTCTCAACTTTTTATGAATCTGGTAAAGGATGTCAAATGACATTGGCCTTCTCTTATCGCAGCTGGGGGGCAGCAGCTTGCGCCAGCCCTCCAAGGCCTTCCGCACAACAAAGTCGGTGCATGGGTCAGAGAAATAAACTGCCTTGCAAAACAATGATATTGCCGCCACCTGCAAGTTGAGGGTTTTAGGGGTGCGGCCCAAGCGTCTCAGGTGCACTAAGTAGGCAAGAACCTCAGACTTGACAGGAGGGGAATTGATTCTAGCTCCATTATAAGATCTTAAAGTGGAAGGCGCCACCGAGGCTAATACTCCCTGCATTACTTCTAGTTCCCAAGGCTCCATAGGTGCTCCGGGAAAGGCTGAGGAAGCTGGTGTGCATCCGGTGCTAAGGAGCGGAAGTGGTCCATCTGAAAACGAGATAGGGCATCCGCAATGTCATTGTTAACACCAGGCACAAATTTGGCGGAAAAGTGGATATTGAGCTCTAAGCACAAGAGAATGAAGGAACGAAGAAGGGCACCCACCCTTGGTGACCGGGCGGCTTGCTTGGAAAGGACTGATACTACTGCCTGGTTGTGGGTGTGAAAGCATACCCTATGGTTACTAAATTCCTTAGACCACAAGTGCACCGCCACTACGATCGGGAAGAATTCCAGGAAGGTTAAATCTCTGGTTATGGGGCCCCCCTGCCAGGCTGCGGGCCAGCGCTGGGCACACCATTGCCCCCTGAAGTAAACACCGAACCCAAGAGACCCTGAAGCATCTGAGTGCACCTGAAAGTCAACTTGCAGTGACATGTTATCCTGCCACAAGGAAATTCCGTTATAACTTTCCAAAAACTTCAACCAGACTTCCTTTAAGAATAATTTTTTATTAACCGACCAATCACATCAAATCAAACCAAATTACATAAATTCCAAATTACACAGCCAAATTTTAATTTTTTGTTGAGGGTACCCATATTTCAAGTTCCGAAGGGATCCAATCAACTTCTTGCTTCTTACTGCTGTTTTAATGTCCACAAATCTAACCTTATGATGTTCACAGTACTATCCAGTCCTTTCTTATTATTTTTCCACATCTCTTGTTGTTATTTTCATATATTTTTCCTTTCTCTTTGTGACCTCTGATAGTCTCCACAAGCTGGTTAGAACAGTTTGTAATCCTGCGTGGATATATATATTTTTTATCCAGTAGCCATATCCAGACGTTTTCCGTATAACATCACTTCCATACATCAAAACAGTCTTAGCGTCATTAATCTTCACCAATCTGCCTCCTTTCTCAAAACCTCTGAGGAGATTCACTAGGAATGCAGTCTGAAAACAAGTCCATTCTTCCTCCCGGCTATAAATCCTTTGGCAAGATGGCGACTCCGAATTAATTGCTGCGCCATTCCCAAAAGCTCTTATTGCTTCTCGGTCTCCATAAAGCATACTTTTGGTTAAAGTTTATCTCCACACAGACCTTAATCATCCTGCTTGGGTCAGTTCAACCGACGGTTCTAATGAGGAGGGGTTCTTGTAAATCACATAGAAGGAAAGTAAAAAAGTTCCTCCTCATTCAGCCCCGTTGTCAACATACCCCGCCTTTGGTGTATCTTCATCGTAAAATATTCCTGTTTCTCCAGCCCGTCGTCGTCTTTCGCAGAGGTCACTTAAATTAGCAGACTTCACTCCCCTTCTTCACTTGAAATATGTGCATTTGCTTCTTCTGTAATTAATTATTCCAAATTGCTGCAACTAGTGCGCGATCAGAGACAGCATCCAGGAGAGCCAAGGTCCACACGGGGGCATTCTGCCTAGGGCCCTCACCCCCTTCTTTCGAATTAGGGGGTGATTTATGGGCACAGCAGGCAAGGGCAGTGTTCCCCATTTCCTTGGGGCAACAAGGGAGGCTGCCTACTCCCATAGCAGCCTCTTAATTACCCCGTGTGGGTCGGAGAGATGGTATTGTTGGCCATCTTCCAATGCGCCCCCTAGTGGCCCCCCCTTCAACCAGACTTCCAGATCGGATTTTACCTCTTTTGATAGGCGAACCCTGTAATGAGGGGATCACAGACCTGCTAACAGCCTCGCGAGGCGGCCGCAGAATGGGCGGCCAGGGGAAACCACACGGCAAGCAAAACTTAAATGGCCTAACAGTGACTGAATCTGCCTGAGGGTAACTTTTCTTAGGGGGAGGAGTTGTCGAATAAGGTCAATTTTTCTCTGGGCAGTTTAGAGGTCTGGGCGACAGTGTCCAATTTAATACCCAAGTAAACCATAGTTGTAGCTGGGCCCTCTGTTTTGTTTGCGGCTAGATGTACGCCCAACTCCCCCACTAAAGATGTGAAGGCTTCGAGAAGTTCCGAGCACTTATGTCTACTATCAGCTACGAGGATAAAGTCGTCCAAGTAGTCCGACACACCCTCAGAGCCTGTTCTAAAGCGAAGCGCCTAGTCCAGGAAGGTACTGAATGCCTCAAAGGCTGCACAGGCCACTGAGCAACCCATGGGCATTGCCTTGTCCACGAAATAAGCCCCCTCAAATTTTCAACCCAGCCACTGGAAGTCTTCCAGGTGTACTGGCAGGAGTCTGAAGACAGACTCAATGTCACATTTAGGCAGCAGCGCACCGTTTCCAAATTTGCGAATCAGTTTAACCGCTTGGTCAAAGGAGGCATACCTCACGGAGCAAAGTTCCTGGGGTATCGCATCATTGAAGGACCCTCCTTTTGGGTAGGATAGGTTGTGAATCATGTGAAACTCGCCGGCTGCTTTTTTAGGGACGATGCCTAAAGGGGATATATGGAGACCCTCTATGGGAGGGACAAAAAAGGGGCCAGCTATCCTCCCTGCTTTAATTTCCTTACAAATTTTCCTTCGCGCGACCTCAGGCATCTCCCTTACTGATTTTTGATTTGGTGGGTCACCTGAATTGGGGGGGGGAAGCTACTGGAATCCTGAAACCCGCACTAAAGCCTCCCCAAAGATACAAAGCAGCTGTTCTGTTGGGATAAAGATTCAAAAGGGTTTTTAACGGGGTCAGCTTCATAGGAGAAAACGCCAGGCCGAGATCGAAATTACTGTCGGTTTCCCTGAGGTCCGAATGGAGCTCCATGGGCCACCCCTGGCACCCTGGTTGAAGAAGCCTCTCCCGCCCCGAAAGGGCTGCCTCCCTTTGATGCAGGCAGTGGCTGGGTGGTTTCCGAGGCATCTCTCGCACTCGTGGCTATACTTACAGATAGGCCGCACACAAACCCTGTTTCGCATTGGTCTTCCAGGATTTTGATGATTCCTGGGACTTCTTTTCTACATAGGGACCAACGTGCTCCGACCAATAGTTTTGGTCCCTCAAGTCCCAACGCGTAGAAGATAACAGAGAAGCGTTTCTGCGGAAATCTTCATCATAATTTAGTGCCGCGGTCTCCCCCGCCAATTCTCGCGCCCTCCTAACATGGGCCAGGTAAGCAATTAGATGCATTGCACGTTTGGAATAAGCCACGCTGACCACGCCCATGAACACCTAGAACCCGTCCAGCCAATTTTCAAAATTACGTTCGGCCCTGGGTGTTCTGTATCTTCGCTTCCCATAGCTACGCTTCTTTTCCCCTTTACCAGTCATCTTAGCTGGTGGTAACAACGTAAATATGTAAATAAAGTCACCGTTAAGTATCTTAGTTCTCTTTCTTTGGGATAAGTGATTCCCAAGAATAAAATCGGTAGACAGGTTTGTGGATGTTTTTACATCCGGAACTAGTGCACCATCCTTCCATTCCAAGGAACCATTAAAGGACTTGCGGTATGAATTAGCCCTCCTTTCATGCACCCACAGAGGAAGACCTGAACTATCCTCCCCGTGGCCCCAGTACTCCTCCATAGGAGTATCGCTCTCTGAGTCAGATGAAGAGGTACCTGATTCATCCTCCGATTCAGACCGCTTACTCTTCTTGCTTTTCTTTGATGTATGCTTCCTCTTTTCTTTCCTCTTCCCTGATTGGCCATCCAGTGGTGCTTGTGCACCTGCACGTCTTGCTGCCCCTGCGCTACCTCGTCTGAAGAGGAGCCTGAGGCGCCCTCAGCTGGTGCCGCTTGCGGTGGCGGGTTCTGAAAAACACTAGGGAGACCTACGTCCTTTTGTGGGTTAGTGGTATTAGAGCCCTGAGTACTTGCCTTGCCCTTCTTGCCACCCTTCTGACCCCCTTTTGACTTGCCTGAACTGGAGGACTGTGATCGCGTATTGGGCCGGTCTGTTGAGTCATTGCTTGCCCTCAGTGCTGCCGCGTTGGCCGCAGAGGTGCTGGGGCGGTCCAAATCGCTAGGGGGTGTATCCGGGATGCAATCTTGCGTGAGCACCACCTGTGCCACCGCCACCTGGCCTGCAGGCTTGCATTGCCTATAAAACGCCTCAAAAGCAGTGAAGAACTGGGCAAATGCCTGTGGGTTACATGGCATTACCAAGGCCTGAGACCGCTCCTGGTTCCCTTCTGCCCCCCCAGAAACAGCGGAGTTCTGCTGATTTTCTTGAGCAGACATAATTATAATTCGGTACCCTTAATAACCTAGTTCAGTAAAATCAACACCAACTGGTTTAGAATTCTATGTGCAAGATGCAAGTAATGCAACAGTAGTTCAGCAATGTCAGCACTGGCAATTTGAAAGAAAGCCAAGGATGCCTACCCAATCCTCAATCAGTTGTATTTTAATACAAAATGCTCAGAAAATTGTCAATCCCTGCAGGAATGCCTATGGATTCTGATCAAAAGTAATAGAAGAGTACTTCCTGTAAGCAAGGAGCTATGGGCCAAAGCTATAAGATGAAACTATAAAGTAAAACTATTAGGTGGAACCCAAAGGTCTGGGAGGGAAGGAATGCAATTTAATTGAAATACCAGAAGGAGAGAGTTATATTTTTTTATATTTATTAAGATGAGGAGCTCCCAGACTCTTTGGAGCACCTTAATTGAAATTAACCAATGAATTATTAGCACAGAAACGCGTAAATAAAGACCAAAAAGGCAGCCATGAACCATAAGAATCAATCAAGGTTTAAATCAAACCACAGGGAAAATGCCCTTTACAAACCACAAGTAAGAAATATAAAGGAGATCAAAAGAAAGAATCCCTAAACAGCATGTACTAGTTCCTATAAATTCCCCTTATCTTATGACAGACTTGGCAAAAAGGCCCCCTAAATCCCTTAAGGACTTTAATTGAAATCCACTGAATGAATTATTTATTGAAGTCTCTAATGCCTTACTAGGTGCTGCTTATTTAATGCAACGAAGTAAATACTGAAGGTCTTTGTTGCCTTTGTGCTATCTAATTAAGCCTTATGTATTGCTGTTTATTTTTTTATTTGTTTTATTTATTATTTATATTTTTTAATGCGATGAATTTATTTAACTTAAATAAATTTAACTCCCGAAAAAGGGAGCTACCTTATTAAAATGGCCAGCCTTTGCCTAATATTAGCGAAAGGAATAGTATTTATACAACCCTTAACACAAAGGTAATCCGGTTTTAAACGGCAGGATCCAAGAATAAGGCAATCAAGATTTAAAAGGCAGAAACCTAGAAAAAACTTTGGAAGGGGTGGGGAAGCGAACAACAAAGCGATCCGGTTCACGGAGGCAGCAGCTGCTTGCGTTAAATGCCCAAAGAACGCTCTCCGCTGGGACACGTTATTGCTAAGGAAGCGTTAACACCCTAAAAGAGGGGTTACGGAGAAACCCTTCCCACGTTCAGATGCCTATAGCAAGATGGCGGCTGCTGTGAGGCCACGTGAGCGGAAAACGGAGCGCTACTATTAAACCAGCACGAACAAAGGGATCTCGGAGGCACTGCTGCCTGGAGACTATATAAGCAGGGAAGCGTTACAGCTGTCCGTTGTGCTGCTGCCTGCTATAAAGGGCTGGCCAAGGAAACACTTCTTTACGTGAGTTGCCTCTAGCAAGATGGAGGTCACCCCAAAACCACGTGGCCGCACCCGTAGCCCGGCAACAGCGCAGCCCGTCGCCTAGCTTCAGCACACGAGCGGAGGCAAAATCAAACTAATAAGCAGAGAACAGCCGCCAAAGCATAAAACCCCCAAATACAAAAGCCGCCGACACAAAATCCCCAAATGCAAAACCCGCCGAAACAACACACAAGACGCACCCCTGAAGCCTCCCTCCTTACGCAGCACGAGCCCAGGCGGTGCCCCGAAGCACCGTGATTTGTGATTAAAGTTTTAAAACCCCCAGCAACAGAACCTGATCAGTCGGGTTCTCCACGTCTTTCCAAAGGCCGAAGAAATCACAAAGGAGGAGGCGGTGTGGATACACGAACTGTGTCCAGCAAGCTCAGCTGACGAGCGGGCTTAAGGGAATGGCTGCTGCTGCAGCTCTCCCGGATGCAGTAGGAACCGGCGACAAGCAATCCACAGGAGATGGTCACAGGAGCGAAGCGTAGACAAATCTTCAGAATTAAAGTTCCTCAAGGGAAGCCGCGACCCTGCAACACGAGACCTAGGAAAAATTGAGCACAAAAGAACCTAATACAAACCTCCAAAAACGTGATGGCTGGCGCGGCGAAAAGAAGGCGAGCCCCGGTCACGCCTGCCCTAAATAGGGCAGGCCACTGGACAAACAATTTGGATTGGAATACAAAAGAGGGAGGTATGAGGAAGTCCAGAAAATAAGTAACTAATAAATAGGGCAGGCCACGCCCCTCCAGCCACCCGATTGGCTGGCTGGGTGGACGATGCGGCCGGGATTCCCTCGTTCTCGCGGGGGTTGCAACCCAGCCCCCGCGCACGTGGAGTGGGCGTGAAGCCCGCAACCCCACCTCCTTGCCAGGTCCCGGAAGTGGCTTTATCAGCTCAGCTTCCTCTGATTCCGTTCCAATTCTGGGATGTTGTCCAAATCTGTTATCTTTGATGGCGCAGCAACTCATTAATTGTCCAAACCTTCCTTTTGAGCTTTATTAAACCAGAACCTTCCAAATTAAGTTATTAGGCATAACTGTTTGCAATATTAAACTGTGTTCCACAATATCAGTCATTTGGCGATCGATCAGCCTTTGGAGGCTGCACTCTTCCCCCTCCGGGCCCTAGAGGGGGGGGCTGCTAGACATCCCTTAGCCTTCTCTTTCGCTCATAAGGAATATAAAAAGCTTCTGCAAACAGCTGCACTGTATATTGTCCCAAGTTGTTATCTGGATTCATCACAAAGTCAATCAGCACGCAACTCCTGCTTGTCTCAAAGAAAGGAAAAGATATAATTTTTCATGCTGCGTCATATATAGTGGGAGCCATCTTGTCTCGTCCTGCATCTCCGTCAAATCCCTCAAGTCCCAAATGAGGCTGAGCGGTTAAATGCCTAATTATAAATAAAAGTCCATCTGTACTCTTTTTTATTATTGTTTAAGTTCTTAATGAGGCTTGGCATAAAAAATCAATTGTAATTGTTAAGTAGAGAGAATAAAAACATACCAAACATAATCCAAACACCATGATAAGAATCTCTTTGAAGTCCAAACTTAACCCCCAGGAACTGTACACCTCTGCAGGTTTTTTCTCAAGCTTCTTCGATCCAGTCCGTGTCTGTTTATTGTCCAAATCTATTCATTTTCCCAAAAAGATGTTCCCAGCTATGAGAATGACATCGAAGGAGTGCCAGCCATTCCGTGCTCTGTGACCCAGTGTCCTGCCGCCTGCACCTTGATGCAGGTCGGCAATCTCGGACAAACGGCGGGTCTACGAAGCAGTCCTCCCCTACCCTGGGGAGGCTGTCAGGACTAATTACCCCCATATCAGCCCTGAATTACCGGCACAGCTGGGGTCCGGTCATGTGGGAGTCAGCCATTTCCCACCGCCAGAAACAGGAAGCTCTGGGGAAGCGTTCTCAAAAGAGTTCCCTTGCCCCTTTTCATCACAGCCCACCACTCTGTTTTGGCTTATATACACAGTGTTTTCTCTCCTGTTCTGTACATAATGATTTCAATTTATGAATTGCCTCCTATGAAGCCATTATGGTTGGGACTGATAGGAGTTGTGCTTGAAAATGTCTACAAGTACAAATTACTTACGGATTCTAAAGAAAGAGTGGGATTTTCCCTGCCAGATTTGAAAATCTATTTTGAAGCAGCAGCGCTTTGCTGGATTAAAGAATGGATACAACTAGAAGATACTGATGTATTACATTTGGAGGGATTCGACAATGTGTTTGGACGGCATGCATATTTATGGTATGATAAGGTAAAGGCCCATAATGCATTTAAAAATCATGTAATTAGGAAATCGTTGTACAATGTTTGGATAAAATACAAAGATCTTTTAGAAAGGAAGACGCCCAGATGGCTCTCACCAATGGAGGCGAAGGCCCAGAAAAAGTTAAACATGGAAATCAAATGGTTGAGAGATTCAGATTTATTATTGGAGGATAATGAAGGATACAAACTAAAACCATTTGATCAAGTTAAAGATAAGTTAAATTGGTTACATTATCACCAGATTAATGAATTGTATAAACTAGATAAGAAAAACGGTTTTGCTTCTGAAAAATCCAAGTTGGAGGCGGAGGTGTTGGATTCTAAAGTTAAAAATCTGTCTAAAATGTATAAGTTACTGTTGGAGTGGCATACAAAGGATGAACAAGTTAAATCAGTAATGATAGATTGGGCAAGAGATGTAGGACATAACATAATGTTTGAGGATTGGGAAAGATTGTGGAAGAAAGGCGTTAGGTTCACTGCATGTACAATGTTAAAGGAAAATATAATGAAAATGATGTATAATAATAATAATAATAATAATAATAATAATAATAATAAATTTTATTTATATCCTGCCCTCCCCAGCCGAAGCCGGGCTCAGGGCGGCTAACAACAATAAAACAGTACAAAAGTACAGCATAAACAACAGTCTAAAATCATTCATTATAAAATTAATTAATTCAAGCCACTGGCAACCATTGGGCCAGAGCTCCGCGAAGATTGCTCAGGGAGGGAGTCAGGCTGTGCCCTGGCCAAAGGCCTGGTGGAACAGCTCTGTCTTGCAGGCCCTGCGGAAAGATGTCAAGTCCCGCAGGGCCCTGGTCTCTTGTGACAGAGTGTTCCACCAGATTGGAGCCACAGCCGAAAAAGCCCTGGCTCTAGTTGAGGCCAGCCTAACTTTTCTGTGGCCTGGGACCTTCAAGATGTTTTTATTTGAAGATCGTAAGTTTCTCTGTGGGGCATACCAGGAGAGGCAGTCCCGTAGGTACGAGGGTCCTAGGCCGTATAGGGCTTTAAAGGTTAAAACCAGCACCTTAAACCTGATCCTGTGCTCCACCGGGAGCCAGTGCAGCTGGTATAGCACCGGATGAATGTGATCTCGCAGCGAAGACCCCACAAGGAGTCTCGCCGCGGCATTCTGCACCCGCTGGAGTTTCTGGGTCAGTCTCAAGGGCAGCCCCACGTAGAGCGAGTTACAATAATCCAGTCTGGAGGTGACCGTCACGTGGATCACAGTGGCTAGGTCAGGGTGAGAGAGGTAAGGAGCCAACTGCTTAGCT